AAAAAAAACAGAAAGTAGCAAAATCACACGCTGTGTGAAAGGACAAGGTCCTGTAACAATCCTCCCCTTCAGAGAAGAATGTGTACATCTATATTTTTGAAAAAGTTACTGCATGAATAAAGAAAGAGAAATGGAGTTGATAAGAAAAACGAAAAAAGTAGGTGAGCAACTTGAACAGAAAAAGATTGCATCTAACGAGTTAGAAGAAAAACAGAACGGGCCTTGTATAGCAAAATAAAAGGAGAAAAAGAAAAAAAATCTTTTAGCTTACGACAATGTGTTACGCCTATTGTTCATGCTTCTGTTGACTGTGAAGCGCCAGAAAAAAGGAAGATTGAAATAAACCGGTTCTTCCAAAATCAATCTCATTGGACTTCACCGGCGACGTTGATGATATTTGTAATGTTGTGGATTGGGTGGTGGTGCTCTTGTACGATGATGATGAGGCGGAGTTGAGGTTCTTCTTTGTTGTGAATGAAGCGGAGAATAATGGTCGGACCTCTTGGACCGACCCTGATCTCGATGTAGTGATGGTGAAGGTGTGCGACGATGAGGGAAATACAGTCGATTAAAATGTGATTCGGTAAACCAGTTTTTTGTTCGACGCTCAAGTTCTTCGCGATCTTGACCTTCTTGGAGGCCAATAAATACATGATGTTGACGATTGGGAGCGGGTACTAATGGTGTCTTAAAAATTTTTGTATATTTAATGTCCGCTCTATCTAGTACATCTCGAACTTTTTCAACTGTAAAGCCATGATAAATATCATGACGTGCAAGTTGAGACAAAAATTGTTTTCGACGGCATTTCAAAGTTTTACGTCGGTTTTTTGATCTTTTTGCTTCCGCCGTCATTGTTGATTTAGGAGGATTTTCGACTGCGGTGAAGACTAGTGACGGTTGCGAATCTATTGATGGACGAATCGTCTTCTCTAGAGAAGACACCGACGGTACGTTTAAGTTGATATCTTCATCGACCGATATGATGACTTCATCTTCAACGAGAACTGTTGGGGTTTGTTCGATGCATGATGATGTTGATTCGGGAAACACCGGAGGAATGACACAAGTAAATTTTGTTTGCTGCTGTGAATTAGATTCCATGAATTCCATTAATTTTTCCATTGCAAGACAATCATTTCTCACATAACGTATCATTTGGTATCGAAATTCTTGCTGACTGTTATTGTTGTGTTGTAATGATAAGTCCAGCCCTATGTCGAACGGAGCAATGGTAAGACGTTTATCGAGCCAAACTTCTAATGTGTGTGCCATAGCATCTTGAAGACTCCATGTTTCCCCGTCTAATTTGTCGAGCAGACATTGTTCACACCTACAATCAGCCGAAGCTGAAGGTTGATGGGGATGTGCCGATTGCCAGAAGAGTTTGAATTCGTTTTGTTGATTAATGGCTTCAGGGAGTAACAGTTGTTGATGCGAAAACAGTCCAAATTTAACAAATGAATCTAATTCAGATAATTCTCCCCAAACGTATATTGTATTTTTTCCCACAAGAATAGCCGAAAATAAATCTTGAATTTTTCCGAATTCTTCAGAATGAATGGGAGGAAGATGTTGCACTTCAACCAGAAGGATAGTTGATAGATGGTGAGGACGGATGAGTTGAATCTGAATGAGAGCTGGCTCGTTGTGTTGATAACGGCGTAATACAGATTCAGTGTCGAGCGTATAAAGCTGTGTGTGGATGGCGATGTGGATGAGTTGATTGAGAGTTTGGATCGATGTATTATAAGTAATATGATGCTGTTCAAATTCATGTTCTGGAGGGTTGAACAATGGATATTTGGAAGCATAATCATGTTCCTTCAACTGATGTTTACCCATCGTTACAAGGTGTTGAGCTGCTCTGATGATCACCGATGGAGTCTGTCGAAACCGCTTGTGAAGAACATTTCCTTCTAATGATTTCAAGTAGCTAATTTGAAATCCTGAACGAATAATGAAGTTGGAAATACGCTTTCCGAGCTTCTATGATCTGACACAAAAACCATGATTGGCTGAAGAATATAATAACCGTAAACTTAACATGATAGCCCTTCGAGTCAGTGAGTCATAGACATTCACTCCCCGGCTCGTAATGCTAGATCATATATCCTCCAAAGTAGTCAATTAATCAATCTATCAATTTGGTTTGTTTGACTTAGATTAATCATCACAATGGGTCGGCTAGTTCGGCCGGCGCCGGAGATTTTATAACGTTCGCTCAAAAAGAGGAATTATTACGTCAACTGTTACTTGTCGACGTAATGTCGTTTTTTTTTGTATGCTCGACGATAAATGTTTTTGAAGCGAGCTGTTGGATAATTCTAAATGGACCTTCGTGTCTTATGTCGAATTTGTGACGCGTGTTGAGTGTCTTTACGAGAACGAGATCACCGATTTTATACGATGGATTTGAACGATTTAA